CTACAGACTGGCAAGATGACTCAGTGGGTAAAGGTAATGACCATAAAGACTGATGACCCGAGTTGGATGCTTGGGACCCATGTGTTAGAGACAAAGACACCCACCAGCTGTTCTCACATTACCATACGAATACAGCAGCATTCCCTGTCCATTCCCCTAAATGTTTTTTCCCTCCCTTCCTTCCTTTCTTCTTCTCTGCCTTTCTCTCCCTCCCTCCCTCTCTCTTTTTCTTTTTCAAAGAACGAGACATGCCATCTAGAGCTGGCCTGGTGGTACGCGACTGTTAACACCAGCTAGGCAGGAGGCTGAGGCAAGAGAATCGTAAGTTCAAGGTCAGTCTCAGCAACTAAGCAAGTCTCCATCTCAAAATAAAAAGTTTAAAAAAAAAAAGAGGGCTGGGATGTAGCTCAGCAGAGGGGCACTTGCCCAGCATGTGCAAGGCCCTGGGGTTTAATCTTTAGTACCACAAAAGAGATAAATTACTTATAAAATAAAGAAATCCAGGAAATGGTGTATACTGAAAGGACAGGAAAAGTTAGATGGAGATGGAATGTCAGCTTGGTGATGTGAAAACACTACAATTAGAAAAGTACACAGCAAGGGGTGGCAGCTCGGATCATTCACGAGGCTGTGTGGTGACTGAATGAAGGTCTGCAGGTCTACTTCTGCCCTTGGATTTGAATCCTTAGAGCACACGACAGTCAGTCACAGCTCTAACTCAGTACTGCACTGTGAGAGTCAGGGAGACAGCATCTCGGGGCCCTACCACCACCCACAAACAGAGTCCTTGAAGCAGGCGTGAAGATTGCATGATGCCAGTCAGGAGAGAGCAGAGCACTCAGAGTCCCTCACCACTGTCTTGAAGGAGACCTCCAAAGAAGAGCACGGAGGGGTCAGTCTGTTGGCTGTGCAGCCAACAGTTCAGCATTTATTCTTGTCTTCATTGGCCATACAGTGAATTTCAGAACTGTTATAAATACTATACAAATTTAGTAAAATGTACAAATCCATAAACTCAAAAACTGTTACTAAAGACTAGGATTTATGTGTATGAACGAGTGTTCTGCCTGCATGTACGGCTGTGCGCGCACCGCACGTGAGCCCGTTGCTCCAGGAGTTCAGAAGGCATCAGAGGCCTTGGAACTGGAGTTTTGGATTGTTGTGAGCCAGCATGTGGGTGCTAAGAGACAAATGTGTGTCTTCTGCAAGAGCAGAAAGTATTCTTAACCACCCAGCCATCTTGAGCCCCAAGTTCATAAACTTTTGATATTTTTTTCCCAGATTAGCTGACAGTTTAAGTTCTTTTAAAAAAGATACTGTGTTTTTCAATAGCCTTATAGTAGGAACCGTGATATAAGTGCATAGCCCAGAAGGCAGTCAAATCAAAGCAATCCTTAATGGACCCAGTAGGTAAACAGACACTAACCAGAAGACTAGTCTAAAAAGGCTTTGAAAATGACAAATACCTGTTCGCTGGAGAAGTACCCATGAACATACTCAATTGCTTTCAATTTATATTCTGTCAAAACCGCCTAGAAAGGGAGGAAAAAGGAATTAATATACATCAGCAGCATGTTAATATGCAGTTACCCAAATTACATTACCCCCCCCCCCCACACACACACACACACACAACCTGATAGAGACTGGTCTCATTCGGCTCCGTCTGGAAACAGCAGCAACTAAGACAGTAAGAAATCCTACCTTTTAGACCATCTGGGTCTCCAGGAACACTTACACAAAGGGATTAACATTGTAACAGAGTCAACACTAGTAGAAATTAAGTGTCAAATTCCTGAACGTCTAATCAGTTTCAATTTGATACAAATTGCCATGCCTTTTCCTTTTTCTTCCTAGAGAGGTCTCACTATGTAGCCCAGGCTGGCCTGGAACCAGCACTGTGGCCCTCAACAAGTACTTTAGAGCTTGCTTCCTCATTCATAAAGGGGAACCCAATCAAAATCCTTATAATCAGAGAGCTGACCCACAGCAGGTGTTGGATAAATGGCTTCTTTCCTCTCTGGGACCTTTGACTTAACACACCAGTCAGGGCTAACGGAAGTCAGGTAGACTCCTCTCAGAGATGGAAAGATCAAGCAAACGACCAGGGCTTGGAAGGCACTTGTCATAAACTACTGACTAGCCATTTTCTCCTCACTACAAAACAGCTACAACATTTGTATTTTCCATATATATCATTCTACTAGGAGCAAATGCAATGACCAGGCAAAACATTCAGGGTGCTCAACAGCTTAACTTTTACATGGCACTCTGGATAACGCACTCTGAGGTGTGTGATCATCATCGTTACAGAGACAGTCGAAAGCAAGGTTCAGGACCAAAGCCTGGCTTGAGCGGATGACACACCAGTCAAGTCTCAAACCTTCCCTCGATGCTGGCGAGGGCCAGCTGTGGCCCACACACAGAAGATGGAGCTCAGGGTTACAGTGGTTAATACCAAACTCCAGAGGGAGCATTGGCTACCTAAGGCGGCTTGGCTTGCCAGCTGTAGATTTGGGAGTACAACACCTAACTCCACAGATTAGGAAGCCGAAGTCAAACAGGAAGTGCTTACAAATTAATAGCTCTTATTATCCTATTATTATTTTTTTGGAGAAAAAAGATGCCTGTCCTATTTTTCCCCAAGGGTCTTCTTAGAAGTCTCTACTTTAAATGACAGTGTCAGCCAGTATTATCTTGGATGTCCAAAAGAGGTGACCTGATTAAAAGTGACATTTACAAAGTCTAAGCGCAATTTCTAACAATTCTAGCACCACCCCCTCTCTAGAAATGCCTCTGTTTTATTCCACTATAGTAGACTAAGAGCGCCAATGTGCTTCTTCACCTGGCAAAGCCAACCAGCAGCACGCTTTGATTGAAGACTGGAAATGTGGACTTAAAAGGCTGGCTCAGATGAGCAGACTTTCATCTCCAGAACCTTTCCAAGTCCCTCTTTCATATTTATTACCAGACATTTTTACAAAGCTGAGAAGGCAGAGGATACACACACAGATGTTTGCATTGCTCCAAAGCAGAAGTCTGAGTTCAGGTCTACTTTAACTTAAAATTGATTTTCTCACAGAGCGGTTAAAAATCAGCACAGGAACAGAGTGTGGCAAATTCTAAGTACAAGATAAAGTGACATTTGTTTCAAATTTTAATTAGACAAAGGGAATCTGCAACAGCAGAAATCTACCTGAAGAGAAAAAAAACCCAGTACCATCAAATATGAGAGATTAATCCGTTAATTTGAAAAAAGCGAGGTCTTGCAAAGAGCAAAAGAGAACCATAGGCCTGGCGGCAATTTTTGCAGTGAGTCTTACAAGCTGAAAATAAGGATAGCAGTGTATGAAAATAAATCTTCTGGTGCCAGTTAGGGGCACTTGTTTGAGATGCCAACTAGATGCAGGACAGCCCAGTGCGAGCTGTGTGGTGGTGGCTCACGGTCACAGCACTACCTTTTCTGTCTAATAGGTCACCTCTTATATTTGCACTTTTAGACTCAACACTTCATTCTAAAAGGTTTGCTGTCTGGTTCCTCCCAGAAAACAGGAAATATAAAACTATCTCAAAAAGCAGAAGGAAAAGGAAAGCCAAGGCACACATTTTTGCCCAGCTTGAGATTCGAAAAGAAACTTTCTAGGTATTACTTACTACTTCCAATATGGAGTCATTCCTGTTACTGAAACATGGAAACACTGAATCTAATGTCATTCAAAAAAAAAAACCAAAAGGCAGAGTTATGAAGGATTTACAGTTGGCTCCGGAACCGTGGGCAGTCCAAACGTAATTCCCGTACCACAATGATTTCTCAAGGTTATCAGTCAGGTGGCTTATCTTCTATTTGAGCCGTGCAATCTGCCAAGATGCAAGCTCTTACACTACACAGGAAAGTTGGCGATGCGATGCACCTTTGGCGATGCGATGACTTATTTTGCACCATCTACACGCAACATCTCAAAGAAAAGTAAGCCACTTCAATTATCTCAGAAGATTTTTAGGGATCAAGGTCAATTACCTTTCGAATTTCATCCAGCACCGTTTCAAAGGACTTTTTGTCCATCTTGAGTCCTATTCTGACGCGGCTTCTCACAGTTCTACTTGCAATTACGAAACGCTCATCCCAGGTCCGCCCCGCGGATAATACACCAGGAGGAAAAAAAGGAGGCGACGAGGTAGAGAGTATTGTAAACTGCCCCCGAAACAAAGCAAAAATCCCCAAACGGAAACTTAGAAAAAGTTTTTATTTAAAAACAGACTTCAGTAGGTTCTTCGCACAAAGCGTGAGCAGCTCGGAGCAGAAGAGGGCTGGGGCGTTTGCAGAAACCAGGGCTCCGGAGGGGGCCGAAGGCCGGGCGCTCCGAGGGGAGGCCGCTGAGCCACGCACCGCTCACCGATGCGATCCCGGACACTTGGCTCCCGAAGGTGCTCAGCCCCGACACTCTGCCCGACCCCGGGGTCCCGCAGCTCCGGCGGCCGGTGGCCCTGCAGGTTCTTTGTTACCCGTTTCCGTAGCTTCCGGGAGCGGGCCGGCGGTCGGGGCGCACTAGGAGCCGGGCGAACGGGGACGCAGCCTCGTGTAGGGAGACCCTCGAAGACCGCAGCGCGCACACGGCCAGACGCCCTCCAGGAGTACCCCTAAACGCCCCCACCACCTCCAGGGGACCTTTGAGAAACGCGTCGCGTCGATAAAACGCAACTGCGCACCCGCCCGTATGAGTCGCTATTGCCCAAAAGACAGTAGTTGGGGGGGGGGGGGGGGTGAATGGGTAGGGTCCTAGTGTGGGAACATAGGCATCCATGATAGATGCCTGAATGCTTTTCAAAAAGATGTGACTGAAGTCCTTTTCAGAGCGTCAGAGCCATTGTTTTGGTATTATAGTCCTCTTAGTCTTGAGTTTTGTGGTGCTATGTCTTGATTATGGGATGTGAATTTACAAGAGTGGACGGCAAACGGATCAGGAAGATCTGCGGGCGCCGCCATGCCAGTGGTTGCAAGAAGCCCGGGGCCAGGAGCGCCTCCGAGCGGGAAAGGATGGTCACTGGGTCACCCTCTGGGCACCTGACTTGGGGGCGGGAGCGGGGAAAGGAGGAGCAAGAGACCCGGAATTTAAGAGTTTTCTGGTCTAGTTTTCCGGTGCTTTAGGCTTTTACCGCCCAGGACGCGGTTTCGGTGTCTGCCAATCTTCACCCCCAGGACCCTCAGGATGGCGAGAGTCTGGGTCTGCGTGGGAGGCGCCGTCTTTCTTTCCTGTCTGGTTTTGCATTGGCGCTTCAGTGGCTCTCTGGTGAATAGCGGGGACGGGGCTGTCACGGGGCTGTCGGGTGTGGGTGACGCCGAGCGGTGCGGCCCCAGAGGCACCAAACTGCTCCTGGGGCTCAGCAGCTGATCACTCGTCTTCTCTTTTTAGTATTAAAAAGTGTGTGTGTCGGGGCTGGGGAGGTGGCGCGGAGGTTGAGAGCTTTTGCAGAGGAGTAGGGTTCGATTCCCAGCACCAACTTGACGATTCACTCCCCCACTGTAACTCCAGTTCCAGGGGACCTGATGCCCTTTCTGGCCTTTGTGGGCACATGGTGCACATAAACTCTCTCAGGATCACACACATACGTCTAAATAAAAATAAACATATCCCTTAAAAGATATATATATATATATTCTGGATTTTCTTCCCCAGGTCTTTCAGTACTCTCGAGTCATTTGCAGACTTTTGTTGTGGTTGTTTTGATCTTTAGACACAAAACCCTGTTTCTTTAGAGTTATTCTGACTACCTTCTGGTTGTCAAGGTGAGCTGTAAAGATAAATAAATGGTACACACATATATACTTTTTTTTAAACCCGGAAGGCAAACTGAATCTGAGGTTTATTTTACTTTATTTTATTTGAGGTTCCAAGGACATTTGCTTTTTACATACCCTGGAGAAAGGAGGATGTTCTTTTCCGGCTGGATTTGGATTGGCCCAAGTATTCAGAATATTTCACTGGTTCGACATTTTCTGTTGCAGTTGACCCCCTTAACGGGTTAGTTTACGTAGCTCAAGTAAGTAGAATCAGTATTTATTATATGTGAGCCCGTGAGTTCCAGAGATCAGGGTATGAATGTGGAGATCTGAGGACAACTTTTGGGATTTGGTTTCCTTCTATGAAAGGTTTCAGGGATGGAACTCAGGTTGTCCGGCTTACTTAGCAAATATTTCTATCTGCTCAGCCATCTCCCCAACTAGAGATTTTTTTTTTTAAATATGCGCATTTATTTGTTTACAACAAAAAAGAAAGAAAGAAGAACAGTTAACCTGAGCATGACAAAAAGGAAAAAAAACAGTAAGGGAAGAAGTGACTTACCACCCGAGATAGCCAATTGCATTTATGTTATTTATTACATTTATATTATACTAATTATGCAACTTAATTTTGAGTTGGCTTCAAGTACACATTTTAGATTTGTATGTGATAGATGCTGTTGTTAAGTTTCGAAGTTTGCTTTTTACACTTTATGAAGTTTCTCAATTATCCTTTCATTTTGACTTCTCTCTGACAAAAGTTAAGATTAGCACTCCTGTGAAGAGATTCTAAGCAGTTATTTTTGTATGCCTTCAGAGAGGGGATAACATCCCCAAGGTGTTAGTGTTCACAGAGGACGGATATTTCCTCCGAGCCTGGAATTATACAGTTGACACACCCCATGGTATGTTTGTCTCCAGCACACCATATGAACAGTCCGTCTGGATCACGGACGTAGGAAGTGGTATGTGTAGTATTGTCTATTAAATTGCCTTGAAAGATGGAATTCAGATCTTTGCCCGTGTCCTTGCTTGTGCATTTTAAGGCTAGCATTGCTAAATCTAATCATAATTTCTTTAATATTCCACAAAATCATGTGTTTCTACAAATCTATATCACAGTCCTGTTGAATCAAGAAATTCAATGATGCTGTAATCATGATCTTTAACTTGTCAAGGGGACGTGTGTGTGTGTGTGTGTGTGTGTGTGTGTGTGTGTGGTCAGAGTGTCATTCCTCAGGGCTATCAGCCTTGTCTTTGACACAGGATCTTTCACTGGCCTGGAATTCACAAACAGGCTAAGTTAACTGGCCAATAAGCCCCAGCGATCTTCCTTTCTCCCAGTCTTAATGCTGGGATTACAGTGCACACAAACATACTCAGTGAGTTTTTGTTGTTGTTGTGGTGGTGGTGTTAAGATTTATTTATTTATTATGTATACACTATTCTGCTTGCATATATGTCTGCAGGCCAGAAGAGGGCACCAGATCTCATTACAGATGGTTGTGAGCCACCATGTGGTTGCTGGGAATTGAACTCAGGACCTCAGGAAGAGCAGCCAGTGCTCTTAACCTCTGAGCCATCTCTCCAGCCCACTCACTGGGTTTTTTGTTTGTTTGCTTTGTTTTGTTCTTTTTCTTACATGGGTTCTAGGTATGGAACCCAGGTCCTTGTGCTTGAGTGACAGGCATTTTCCTGACCGACTGAACTATCTCACCACCCCCACCCCCACATTTTTCCCCTCCCCCCAGTTCAGGATCTTTCTCCTTTGAACCTTCAGTTGCTCTTCTCAGACTAAGTCTCTACCTCCTCTGTAAAGTCAGATCAGATGTCAGTATTTTAAAGCTGAGCAGTGGACCCTTAACTCCGTTTATACCAGTTGTCTTTTGAAAGAGTGAATGAGGTGACAAGAAGCTGCAGTTTGCTGCCCAGAGAGAAAAGGTTTGCAGAAACTGGTGCTAACAGTTTGAAAATGCTGTTGACTTAAGCATATCTGAAACCTTCCTACCGTCAGATGTTTTTAGTAGACAGTGTTGAAAAACAAAGTAGGCGTTACAGCTGCCGGGGAACTTATCAGAGACAGCACACCACCTGTGCTGCTGGTGTGTCCTAAGCAACAGCAGAGGCTGCTTCTGATGCCTTGCCAGTGCAGCAGGAGTGGGATCATCAGGGAGGGTGTTGCTAGTGTCCCTTGGTCTGGTCATGTCCCTGGCTAGAAGGACATCCTGCTTCCCCAGTGCCTGATAATTCACATACCATTGTTTAGAACCAGTGAGGCCTGGGTTTTGATGAGTACAATTGTTGTCACACTTGTTCACAGGATGCAAAAGATTTCTGGGCTTTGGGTAGTGAGCATGTGATCCACTTCATTCAGTCTTTAAATGTTGGTTAAACATCTCAAGACTGGCAGTTGAGGCGTGTTAAGGCTGCCCACTTCTCTGAGTCTACTCAGGAAAGCATAACTTTTCATCTTTTTTCCTATTATCTCTTTTCTCCTCCTTTCAGATGCTTGCCAAAGCTTAGCCATGCTTCTCTGAACATCCCATTCCACCATGAGGCTGCTCACAAGCTGCATGGCTTCCTCAGTTCCTCTTTTCCATCTTCCTCTCCCAGGCAGCTGTTGAGATCTACAGCTTGGCTCCCCTGGAGTTTTTCTTTTTAAGTCCTAGTTAAACTGGCCTTGAACTTCAAAGTAGATCTAGGAGCTGGAGAGATGCTCAGTGGTTTAGGACATTTATTCTTCCCAGTTCCCAGCACCCACATGACAGCGTACAACCATCTGTAACTCCAGTTACGGGGGAGCCCACATCTTCTTCTGGCCTCTGTGGGTACTGCACACATACATACATGCAGGCAAACACTCATATACAGAAAATAAGGTAAAATAAAATAGCTATATAAAAACTCTTGAAAGTATATCTGAGTTTACACAACACTGTAATGGGGTTTGACTGTTTTCTCTCTCCTCTTCTCTGTCCCTGGAATTCACTTGAAAGACCTTTACTTTTAATTTATTCTGTTCACATCATCCTTTAAAAAGAAGAAAAAAAAAAACTTCCCTGGTTCCCAGAAATAATTGCAGCACAGATGATCTCATTCCTTCCATTGTATCTTGTTTTCTGCCCTCATATCCGAGAAACTATTTTTATGCTCTTCCCATTTTTCAAATGAATTGATTCCTTCAAATGAAGATTTGGCTGCAAGTCAACCACTTAAAAAAATTATAAGTACTCTATCTCCCTTTCCAAGTCTTTAGAAACTTTGAAGTGTGCTTTCTCCAATGTATTGTGTTCTCTGTGTCTAAAAACTTCGACTCCAGCATTCAGGTCCAGGGCAGTAGTCAGGTGGCTCCCCGGGTAGACTTGTAGTGCTGATCAACTCACTTGATTTCTGGTAAGCCTGGTGCATCAAGTCAGCCTTTGGATGCCTGGCAGCTACTTGGGCCTTCTGTGCCTTGAACCTGGCCTCGGCTGAACTGCTTCATGATTTCCCTTATTTACTCTTAATTCACTTTATTCTTTGACTTATAAGGTCATTTTAGCACCAAGATTATTTTTCTCTCAAGAAGTGATCAGTGTTGAATTTGTTTCTGCTGGGAGAACATATCATTTGTGGGGGAAAAAAAAATCTGTTATTTATAGAGAATTTTTTTGTTGACTTAGAAAAATTTAAAATCTGTACATGGATGATTGAAATAACAGCTTTGAATGTAAGTTGCTTGTCTTTTAGTTCCTTCTTGATTTATTTTACAAGCAGTGTGTTTTAAAAGAGAAAAATATACAGTTATCCCAAGCTTTCTGTGTAAATGAGCCAGCGTTTTTGTGTATTCCTTTGTGTTTGGAGTCCTGATTTTGGAGTGATTACATATTAATTCATCACCAGGTTTGAGCATACCTTATGCAGGGCTGCTTGCTGTCTCCTGTCTTAGTTATATGTGTGAGAGTCTGTGGCTTCTGTTGCTGTCCGAGCCTAGTGAAAGATTTGCCTTTAGCTTTTAGAAGCTGTGACTGCTGAGCAATGCTGGTAACACATGCTTGTCTATCTCCGCAGGATCCTATGGTCATACTGTTAAAAAGTACAACCCCCTGGGTGATCTTGTTCAAGTCTTGGGTACCCCAGGCAAGAAAGGCACTGGCTTGAACCCACTGCAGTTTGATAACCCTGCAGAATTATATGTAGATGACGTGGGAGAGATTTACATTGTGGATGGAGATGGGGGACTGAATAACAGACTAGTCAAATTGTCCCAAGGTAAATGCTCTAACTTGCTATGGTCATAAGAACATTATTTTATAAACTGGATTGGATTTGTTTGCTGCTTGGCCTAATCTAGTCATATTGCACATGAAGCTGTGTGTAAAGGGCTAAATACACGGAAACCAGTCGGTGGGCTTGCCAACAGCACATGACTCTGCTCATGGGCCTCATGTTCACCGGGGCCAGGAGATGCCTCACAGGGACTGGAGATGGTGTGAAACTTGAAAGGACTTCTGAGACTTTCCTGTCCTGTATATACTGGGGAAGCCGGGAAACTGGGTCCCGGCAGGCCTCGTGCAGCTGTGACAATGTAACTCTGCCCTCTTCATGTCATTTCCTCCGTGTGTCTTTGACTCTCGTACCTCCCTCCTACAAGGATTCGGGGGCTCCTGTGAATCCAGGATGATCTCAAGATCTCTAGTTTAATTTTCTCTTTAAAATCCTGCACGCACAGGCTACATTCCCAGGTGCGATGTGTTGGGAGTGGACTGGTCTTTTTAGAGAAAGAATACAATCTGCTAGACTTAGTGCCTCTTCTTCCAGAGACTGGAGGAGACTGTAAAACTGTAACAGTGTGTGTGCTGGTACACACCTGTGATTCCTGCAATCCAGGAGGAGGATTACTAAGAGTTTGGGGCCAGCCTGAACTGCATAGCTCAAGGCCAATCAGGACTGCATAATGTGATTCTCTGTCTCAGGAAAAGAAAAACAAATTTGAGTAAAAAAATGAACTTTTTGTAAAAAGGGAACTAGTTTGAAGTAAACGGTGCAGGGACTCTGAACAGTGCTTTAGAGGTTGTCAGAACAGCGCAGGCAGAGCTAATTAAAGCAGTAGATTGTTCGAAGGAACACATGAACTAGACAGACATAGATAAAGCCAGGAAAAAATACTCAAGTCCTCAGTGTGTAATACTTTCGTTTTTGTTTTGTTTTTTGATTTTTTTGCAGTTTGTAAGACAAAATTAACATGCAAATGCATAAAGCATTCTATATGTTTCACTGTTCATATATATTTCCCATTTATAGATTTCATGATTCTCTGGCTGCATGGAGAGAGTGGAACAGGACCTGCCAAGTTCAACATACCTCACAGTGTTACACTTGACTCACTTGGTCGGGTAAAAACAGTCTCCTTGTGTTTGGAGCAGCACGCATGTGGGTGGGTGGGCGTGTCTTGGTGTAAGTGTGTGGGTGGGTGGGTGGCATGTCTTGGTGTAAGTGTCTGGGTGTGTGGCATGTCATGGTGTAAGTGTCTGGGTGTGTGGCATGTCTTGGTGTAAGTGTAAGTATCTGGGTGTGTGGCATGTCTTGGTGTAAGTGTCTGGGTGAGTGGCATGTCTTGGTGTAAGCGTCTGGGTGTGTGGCATGTCCTGGTGTGTCTGGCTGTGTGGCATGTCTTGGTGTAAGTATCTGGCTGTGTGGCATGTCTTGGTGTAAGTGTCTGGCTGTGTGGCATGTCTTGGTGTAAGCGTCTGGCTGTGTGGCATGTCTTGGGATAAGTGTCTGGGTGTGTGGACTTGGGTATTAGTAGGGGCTCTTCTTTCGTTTCTGTTGCTGTGATAAACAAACAAACAAACCTGATGGAAAGCCAGGTAGAGAGAAGGAGAAGTCAAGGCAGGAACTTCAGACATCTTTGCTGTCAAGTCAGCAGAGAGGAATGAATGTATAGGTACATGTACACGTGCTGGCTTGCTCAGACTTACACATTATTATACAACTTAGCACCACCCCCGTTAGGGGATGATGCCACCCACGGTAAGCTGATTGTTCTCATGTCAATTAAAGCAACCAAGACGTTCCCACAGGTCAGCCTGCTGTAGATAGTGCTTGTTGGGTGCTCTGTCCCGAGGCCATCCTAGGTTATGTCAAGTTGACAGTTGAAGCTAACCACAGTAGGCACGTCTAGGAAATTTCTCCAGAGTGGCTGTGTACACTTACCCTTAAAATGTTTGGGCCCTATTCTGAGGAAGTTCTCCAAAGACTTAGAAATCAGCAAAATAGATGTCTATAGTCTTTAAATGACAAAAGAACAGGTAATGAATCCAAAACCCAAAAAGAGATTTTGTCTTCTGCTAGGAAAACCGAACTGTAAGTGTTGAAATGTCTCTAGTTCACAAGGGGAGATAAGCTGCCCTGGAAATGGGGCAGATGAGTGCCGAAGCTACTCCTGAGAGTTTGGGAAGAGCCCTCTCCAACCCCTGCTCTTCCTGCTTCCTTCCTGGCAACAGCAAGCCTCCACCAGGGAACAGAACTGTCTCCCTGCCTCCAGCCCCAGCTACTGCCCCCTCAGGCTTTTCCTCGCCCTTTAAGCAGAAATGCTGCTTCCTGGGATCTTGGGGTTCCCTTCCAGCAGGGAAGTCTCCATCAGCCGGGTTTAAATGCGCTCCCTGTTTCCTTTGGTAGCTGTGCTGTGCATTGCCGCCACCGCTGTTCTATTGACCACAGCTGCTCCTCTGGAGATTGTGGCTTCCTGTGGGCATGTGCTGAGTGCAGTTTGCTTCATCTCCACAACTAGTTCTGGGGCACCTGTGTTAAGTAGTAAACATTTTGATGTGCAGGGTCTGGGCCAGCCGCCTTCCTTGATGCTAGTCCTACTTATTATTTTGCTTTAAAAAGAATTCCACTTTGCAGTTCATGAGAGATCTAGATGCAGTCAAATTCACCATGGTGAGGACAGTTCCTAGGGGCCAGCAAGATCGTTTGGAGGAACAGCTGGAGATTGCCGAGTGGTGGAAGATGACATCCCATTCTCTACATACTTGGGATCTTGCTTGTCCATTGCTGCTGCTGTGGGGATAGGACCTTCCACATGCCAGGAGAGCATCGCCCTGAGCTGCTCCCTAAGCCTGTATCTGACGTTGTGTAGCAGTGTGGTGGTGGTCTGCGCATTGTCTGTGACTCATTTCATCCCCACCATAGTTACGGACTTCCTGTTTCCTAGAGAGGCTTTCTCTACATCACATGTTGAGTACTGAGAAAGAAAGGAAACAATCTGGAATATCCTTTAGTCATGAGACGTGACTATTTCTTCCTTGGTCATCTGTCTGAGGCAGTAATGCCCGATCCCTGAGCAAACCCATCTCAGATCAGGAGGAAGCTGGAGACGTCCACTTGTTTGGGCACCAGCCTCTCACGTCCTTGTCTGTGTCTGTTTGGAAAAGCAGTCAGTGGCTATCCACACACACCCGTGAAGATAAAGTCAGGGTCTCTCTCGGCTACCCAGACCTAAGAAATCCAAGAGAGCTTCAAGGGCTGTGGTCTGTGCTCTAAGGTGAACCTAGAATGGTATAATTGATGGATGCCTATGAATGCTATTGGGAATAATCCAAGCCCCCCGGTTTATTACAGGAGTGTCTTAGTAACTCATTACAGTCTATAAAAACCGGAACTAAACCCATTATGCTTTATGTATTTTTAGCATACCCAAGCTTCTTCCTCTTCAGTGAGTCTGTACTTTGGACCCATCTCAGTAGTAACAGATAGAGGTTTAGAGATGGGAGAGACGGCCTGAGCCTCCTGGTGGCAAGGCTGCTTCTCTCTGCCTTGTGGCCTGGCTTAGGCGGCTGCTCAGGGGTGCAGTGTTGGTGAGTGGTGGAGGCAGCGTGAGTGACTTTGATGTGCGCAGTGGCGGAGGACTCAGGACTTCATTTGCTCGCACGGTTAATGGGGTTGATGGCCCTGTGCGTGCTGGGCAGAGGCAGGTGCACTGTAGACTGTAGCGTGTGCACTTGTTCGTGCATTTCAGACAGAGTGGAGTGGAGGGAGGCCATCTTCTTTAGGGTCCTCTAAACACGGACTGAGACAACCATGCGGAGCTAAGAAAACAGTCCCGTTTCTTCTCCTGTGGGTCTCTTCCAGCTGACGTGATTTTGGTTTCTCAGGTGTGGGTTGCCGACCGAGGAAATAAAAGGCTCCAAGTGTTTGATAAAGACACCGGAGAGTGGTTAGGAGCATGGGACAGCTGTTTCACAGAGGAGGGACCTTCGGCTGTTAGGTAATCATTGCTGTTTATTTTAAATGCTTGTTTCAGCTGCTTGTGGGCTCCACTTCTGAAGAGCAGCTGGAAGTTTCCAGTGCTCATTGTCAATTTTAAGGAGGGGGAAATGGGAGGAAACAAGTGTCCAAAGACTAGTCTGTAATTTTCTAATCCTTTGCAAGATTTCCAGTCACAGAAGGAGGGTCAAAACTTGAGTCCACACGGTTGGACCTCCCGAACTTCTAATTCTCTATTCATTATGTTGTGCTTATTTTAATGTAGGCATATCGTTAGCTTCATCTGCTGTCACAGACTTTACACCAGTTTGAATCCTTCAGGCAGCGATGGCCATTGCTGAGCATTGCAGAGGACACACGCATTGAAAGAATGCTCATTATTACTGACTTCTCCTTCTTCCTAGGTTTACCCCGGGTGGGCAGTACTTGATTGTGGCCCAGCTGAACCTCAGTAGGCTGTCAGTTTTGGCGGCACCGCCATCCGGAAGCATCGGAGAGTGTTCTGTGGTCAGCACCATCCAGCTGGCAGATCAGGTTCTGCCACATCTTCTAGAAGTTGACAGGAAGACCGGCGCAGTCTATGTGGCGGAAATTGGGGCAAAACAAGTCCAAAAATACGTCCCGTGGCACAGCCATACCCCTGCCTTTGGAGCTTAGTGCCTCCTTCCCGAAGGAGCTTCAAGTAGCAGTTGAGAGCCGCAGAGTCACTGTGTTGAAAATCATCAAGGCACAGGGTCATTTTTACCTCTTCTACCAGAGAAGTGTGTTGGTATGTCATTAAGGTCATGTTTTTCTTGTGGTTCTTGGGACTTAGTTTTACAACTAAGTGTGTAAGAGGTTGTTTTTTTCCTTTTTGATGGTCCTAGGTGTTGAACTCATGGCCTCATGCATGCCATGCTGAGCTGCATCTTCACATAAGCAGCTTTTAAAGAAAGAAGTGCAGTTCTAAAATGGGGTCATGACGGGATTCTGTGATTGTAACCACGTTACTTGTGTGGATTGATGAACTCTCTCTGGGCTCCTAGGGTAACCTTTTGATTTCCTATGAAGAACTGGAAACTACTCGTTTGTTTAACTTTTGTAAAATGGACTGTGAGAGATTGTGGTTGGGTGGGCTGCTGAGTAATCTGAGGTGTGCAGAGTGCCATGCCCGGTCTGGAGGTCTGAAGTGAAGCAGCAGCATAATCTGCCTTGTGGTCCAGCAGAGAGACAAGTGGGCATGAAAACAGACAGGAGGAACCATGCGGGGTGGATTCATGCAGACTGCAGGCAGTGGCAGCGTGGCCTGAGATTGGCCACGAGATGAATGAGATAGAGGCAACATTACCATCTAGGTGGAGAAGGCCTAAGACTTACAGACTTCCCATGAATTCTGAGGAAAAAAACCAAGGTTTTGGTCTCTTTTAGCTACAAAATGCTTAATGTCACCCTTTACAAGTAAGATTACAACAGCCAGCATCTAAGCACTTTACTAAAATGAAGATTTACCAATGGTATTTTGAGAGTGAGTGCTAGCAATAAGTCTCCTCCTCAGTATTGCCCATTCCATTTTTTAGATTAAACTCACTTGCTAGTAGTGTTAATCTACCTCCAAGACATTTAGGGGAGTTAGAGCCATTCACACAGAAGTGTGTCAAACGCTTTGAGGGATCACAATGAATCTCCCTGCCTCTCCTGCTCTCGTCCTACCTGAATACTGGTCTTCACATGCAGGTTCTGTGCTTTTCAGTTTGTTCTGGTTTATTCTAGGTTTTGATGGACCCTTTCCCTCTCAAGGTCTTTCGCTCACCCATCCCCTTTGCTCCATCTCCATCCCCTGCTGTCCCAGAGTTACATGGGACAGCACCAGGGAAGCCTAAGCTAACTCTACTCCCCACCCTCTACCGCTCAAGGGGCTTGGGCCTGTTTAGGTGCGTGGGTCACATACAGTGCGGGAGGAAAGTGAGCTTCCTGTTGAAATGTGCTGCATCCCAAGGCTCTTACATGTGTCCCCGCCACTCATCAGACTACGATTCAGTAGTCACCTTAGTCTTCTTTTAGTAACAAGGGAACATCATTCTTTCCTCATTCACTGTTGCAGTGTGGATTGGATACGTAGCAGGCACGGATACCTGGATCCCGGAGTGCATTACAGGATGTTCTGAGATGGCCTTCCAACTGTCTTTGTCATTACATCACATGCCAAGTTTGCCTGACTGTGTTCAGTGCGTCTACAGAATGAGTCTTCATAGGGTTTATGCATTTGCTAATATGACCAATTGATTTGGATGAAAAAAAGAAGCGTGAAGCTTGTTTTGTTGGTGAGCCAGAAAAAAAATGCAGCTGCCCCTTTGAGGGAGAGTCGGCTAGCTGAGCTGCCTTTGTTATTTCTACAGTATTTTCCTTAGCCTGTTTCTATAAGCAATGATTTTTATTGAGGTTTTTCTACATAGACACATCGTGTTTTGATTGAATCCATCCTTCATTCTCTCCCTTTCAGTTCCTTCTCACCCTCCATCACATTTCCTCCCAACTTCCTGTGCATATGTTCATTCCGAATGAACTTGGTGCTACCTGGTCGTGCGTGGGTATAGGACAGTCTACTGAAGCAGGGGTAGTCCTTTAGGAAACACGCCCATCAAAAGATTCTCCCTCTACCAGCAGCCATTAATTCCCAGTAGCTAGCTTCTCAGCTTGGAGTAGGCTCCATGAGCCCCTCCCCACTCTGTGCTGGGATTTTGACAGGTGTGGTCTTGTGCGTGCCGTCATGCTGTTGAGAGTGCTGTGTGCAGCAGCTTTCGTGTCCAGCACACGATGCTTCGCTGCAGAAATCTACCACTGCTGCCTTCTGTAGTGATCCCTGAGGGTTCTGGGTGTTGGAGGTGATGTAGATGTCCCGATTACACAGTCTCTTCTTATTCTCTGTGTTTGGACCAGTGGCGTAAACAGAACCTCTAGAACTATGAATGCTAGCCATAGAGATGAAGTTTCCAGGCCAGTACCAGCTTGATTTCTTCTTCACCCATTCTTATAAAACTTGCTGAAAATAATGTTCCTGTTTGTCTAAAAAGACATGCTTATTTGATCAGTGTACTTGCAATCAAAGTATTTTACTCCTTGCTTTTGGATCAATTAGTTAATAAATAAGAATTGTATTTTCTATTGGAACATTAAAGTTTTGCAAAGAAAAAATTATAGAACTTGGTTACTTATTTGAAGATTGGTTCTTTTTTTTTTTTTAATAATAGAAGAATTTCAGTGACCATAAGATCCCAGGTTGGTGAGTCTGGGCATCATGGTATACATCTATAACTCAGCATGATGGAGGCTACAGCAAGATCTTGGGTTACAGACCAACCCAGCTATCGACTAAAATTTGCTGCATAAACCCAGGACTAAAGACATTGCAGGAGCTAAGAGAATTCTTTGTCTCTGTTCTCATAAAGCATGCATTGATGAGGTGTTTCAGCTAGCGTGACCTGGGCTTACAGGGATGTGTGTGTTCATGCCCTGCTTCTATGTGGGTGGGAATTTGAACCCAGGTCCTCATGTTTACCCAGAAAGTGCTCTAACCCATAGAGCCACCTCCTCAGTGTTACACAGTTGACACATTGTTAAAGATATATTTTTATTAATTCATGTGTGTATCCATCTCTGTGTGTATATGTGCACATGAGTGCAGATATCTATGGAGACCAAAGGCATCTGATCTCCCTGGAACTGGAGTAGAGGCAGTTGTGAAACCAAACTCAATCCTCTGCAAGAGCAGAAAGCTCTCTTAACTTCAGAGCCTTCTCAGTCCCGGGAGTCTGTATTTTGGTGTAGATATGAAATTTCTGGATGCCTCTGCTCCCTAGGTTTATTCTTGACATGGAGAGGAGGAGGAAGTGGTTTTTACTAGAAAACCAAAGGCTGTGATTATTTTTCCTTCCACTCTAATAAGAATGAATGAATCTTTAAAATGGAGTGCTTGACAGAGAAAACCTGGTTACAATCTGAGCCAAAAACCACCGTGCATGTAGCGGTCATTAACTGCGTCCTGTACCATGGCTGGAAGGCTGGGGCGACAGAAGAGGCTTGCTTTGCTTCTGGTTTTTAGAGGTTTTGGAGTGATTGGGTAGCTAGTGGAACTGAGAACTCTTTAAAATTTTAATTCTTAGACTCACTAAATTCAATCAGAATCATTAAAAAAAAAAAAAAGCCCTGAACTTACGTGGGTGGATTGTTTTATTTTCAACTACATACTCTCAGCAATAATCAAATAAAAATTTTGCAGTCAGAATTTATCAGCTTTATTCATTTTACAAATATCTGTTATAATGTGAAGGTTTTGGGACTAGTGTCCACGAGAGCAGCCAGCAAAAGGTGCCTAGGAACACAGATTTTGTATGCTCACCTTGAGGAAATGCCTCAATGTGCTTGCTTGCTCTCTCTCCCTCTCTCCCTCCTCGTTGGCACCTGTGTGTTACAGCCTCCACCCAGAAGAGGGCAGTAGAGCTCTGTGTATGATAGGCATGTCTTGAAATAGCTGGGGGCAATACAATGCCAGGCTTCCTTGCGCTCTTGATTTTTTTTAAATTGGAGCTACAGTATCAAACACACTGTTTTCCCTTTGTTTCTATAGCACGCTTATATCCTGAGGAAGCTGGTAGCTTAATTGGTTTTTCTACAATTAAAAGGGAAAAAGTTTTAATTTGGTAATTAAAATAAAATAAAAGTAGTAAATAACATAACATTAGTAATTCAGACTAACAGCCAGAAGTGAATTATCCATCTTCCAGGTAGAGCTATAGTTGGAGAGTGAGCTTAGTACATAGGGGATTCACGGGGTGAATATGCTGAATTCTTGCTGATTGGGTCTGTAATTGTTGGTTATTTTACAAACGAGAAAAGTGAATTGCTTATTTAAAAGGCCAAATTCATTTCTCTACCTGGTCCTTAGCCATCATATGAGCTTATGGCATGAACTAATTACCCAGTTGCCTCATAACATGTAGCTCTTCCTTCCACATGCAAGAGTTGAGTGGAAGTTGACCAGTGTTTAGTCATGGTCACTATTACTGTGATGAACACCATGCCCCAAAACAGCTTGGGAAGGAAAGGGTTTAATTGACTTATACTTCCGTATCATTGAAGGAAGTCAGGACAGGAACTCAAGCAGGGCAGGAGCATGGAGGCAGGAGCTGATGCAGAGGCCATGGAGGAGTGCTGCTTCCTGGCTTGCTCATAATGGCTTATTCAGCCTGCTTTCTTATAGAACCCAGGATAACCAGCCCAGGGACTGCACCACACACAATCGACTAGGCCCTCCCCCATCAATCACTAACTATGAAAATGCCCTACAAACAGGTTTACCTACAGCACAATCTTATAGAGGCAATTTCTCAATTGAGGTTCCCTCCTCCCAGATGTCTATAGCTCATGTCAAGTTGACATAAATGCTAGTCAGCAAAATTGACCCTTTGTCAGCTTGGCACACAAATGCATTGCTCTTAAGCCATAACCTTTCCTTTTTTGTTCACCCACAATACTGCACATTAATATCACAATATAAAAAAAGTTACAAACTTATAAATCTCACAGTCTTTACAAACACTTTAAAAGTTGTCTCTTTAAAGAAATCTAAAGTTTCTTTATAAAAACTCAGAATCTCTCAACCATGGGCTCTTGTGAAATCAAAATAAGCTTAATTATTTCTTATGCCAAGAGGGAAGAACCAGGGCACAGTCACACATCAAAGCAGAACCAAACTCCAAAGTGTAAAAACTCAGTGTTTCGTGTCTGGATTCATTCACAGTCTTCTGGACTCCTTCGAAGGGCCCAGGTCACTTCTCCATTTCCACCCTCCACAGCACACACAGCTTGTCTCCTCAGCTCTGGCTGGCTCCACTCCACAGCTGCTGCTGTCCTTGGTGGTCGTCCCATGGTACTGCCATCTCCAAAATGCTGGGGCCTCTTGCTGCAGCTGGGCTGCACTTTCACCAGTAGCCTCTCCTGGGTTCTCTTCGGGGACTCCAGCCCTGCCCCACACTGTGAAGCCGCAGCTGTTCTCCATGACCCTTCATACCTTTAAAACCAGTACTACGGGGAAGACTTATACTAAATATACTACCAAGTTTGGCTGCTAGCAAAAGGTGCCTCTGGAACACAGATTTTGTGTGCTCACCGTGAGGAAATGCAGTGCTGTGGTCTCTCTCTCTCTCTCTCTCTCTCTCTCTCTCTCTCTCTCTCTCTCCCTCTCTCCTAATAGAAGGAAGCATTTAATTGGGCTTACAGTTCAAGAGGGTTAGAGTCCATTATGGTCAAGTGAAGGTACAGGTTCAGGAACATCTGGGAGCTCACATCTTTGACTGCAAGCAGGAGGCCGAGAGGGCACACTGAGAATGGCAGGCGACTTTCAAAACCCTCACAGCCTGTCCCCAGTGACACGCTTTCTCCAACAAGGCCAAACCTCCTGCTCAAACACTTCCAGCCACTGGGGACCTAGTATTCAAACATGAGCCCATGGGTGCCATTCCCACCAAACCACTACACACACTTCCTGTTATTCACTCATTTCAAGATGAATGTCTAGGCTGCTTCCATATAGGGTTGTTGAAAATGGAACAATGTACATAAGAGTGTAACTGTCCCTAAACCATACTGGCTTAAATTTCTTTGGGCATATAGCCAGAAGTGGGGTTTCTGAATCATATGGTAATTCTATTTTTAGTTTTCGGGGTAACTTCCATACATAGTATTTCATATAATGGTTGTTATAATAACTTAAATTCCTTCTTGCATGTATGACCTGTGGTTTTATTTTCTCCACATCCTTTCCTCTTTTTTTTCCAGCATAACAAGGCATAATGATTTACTGATAACTCTTTTTTGTTAGAAGAAGGGACGCTTTAAAAAAAAAAATGGTAAGCTATTTTGTATCAAATACGTAAAGCCACAACGAAGCCATGTGCTATCAAGTATTATGCACTACACAAAATTGTATGTGTGACTGGCACATGGGAGGTTTGTTTTAACCCAGCCTCACTGCAGACAGACATGCCATCCACTGAACTGCAGCATCCCTGGGGGTAGGATGTTTTCTGCTCCACTATGAGTCTCTGGGACCGCTGCTGTACGTGCAGTCCATGTTTGTCGGCCATGCCGTTAAGTTCATGCATGCTTTAGAAGTGCAAAGCTCTGTCTGGTATGCAGTAGATGCTTTAATATGTAAACGCTTGATCATAATTTCCTCTTGAAGGCCTAACACACTTTGCTGCTCTGTGAAGGTGAGCCCTCACCCCTGAGGTGCAGATATTGTCAGAGCCACTGCACTGATGGCTGAAGTAATACTAGCCTTTTGCCATCCTGGGACCATCTCTGGGCCAGTCACGTGTTTCCAGTCTGCTTTCAACCTTTTCCTCATTTCTGGCGTCTGCATTACCTACCCCCCTTTTATTGAGAGTAGTTTTTCCCCTCCTCATATAATATATCCTGATTATAGTTTCCCCTCCCTCTACTCCTCCCAGTCCCTCCCCAGTTCCACCCCTATCCTTTCTGTCTCTCGTTAGAAAACAAATAGGCTTCTAGGGATAATAATAAAATAAAACAAAACTAATACATTGGAAAAAGACAAAAGAAATAATCAGAAGGAAAAGAGACCAAGAAAAGGCACATGAAACAAATATAGATAGATGTAGAGACCCACTCATTCCCACACTCAGGAATCCCATAAAAACACTAAACTGGAAGTCATAATATATACTCAGAGCACAATCTTTCTGCCTGCTCTCCTGTGGGGCTTCCTGAACCTGAGAACAGGGATTTGATGAAGACATCCCATTTAGGGCTGAGGGTTCCGAGGTCTCTCGCTCTCTGCATAAGGCCTGGCTGTGGGTCTCTGTATTTGTTTATATCCTCTGTAGGAGGAAGCAAGGCATTGCTCTATGAGTATAGCAGAATGTAATTGGGAGTCATTTTATTGCAATTTTAAAACAAACAACAATATTGTCTTGTTGTTGTTTGTTTTTGCTCTTTTTGCTACCCAGCTCCCAAATAAATCACACACGGAGGCTTATTTTTAATTATGAGTGCCCAGCCTTAGCTTGACTTATTTCTAGCCAGCTTTTCTTAACATAAATTATCCTGCCTCTAGGCTTTTCTCATTCTCTTACTTCTGCAAATCTTACGCTGTGGCTTGCTGTCTAGCTGGGTGGCTGGCCCCTGGAGTCCTCCTCCTTCTCTGGCTACTTCCTTCTTCCTCCCAGATTTCTCCTATTTATCCTCTCTGCCTGGCAGCCCCACCTAGTTCTCTCTCCTGCCTCGCTATTATCCATTCAGTTCTTTATTAGACCATCAGGTGTTTCAGACAAGCAAAGTAACACAGCTTCACAGAGTTAAACAAATTCAATATGAACAAAAGTAACACACCTTAATATTCTACAACACTGTCTCATTTCATATATGTTTATATTTTAAGAAGCTTCTACTGTATTAGGTTTTCATACTATCCCTCAAGTGGCTCTCAATTTCAGTTGTCCCTCTCCTCAAATTTCTTGCTTCATCTCCCTCTCCTGTACCCATTTGATCCTTCCATTCTAACCCTACCCTCTCATCTGTCCATAACTATCAAGCCCCACCCTCTCATCCATCCATAACTATCAAGCCCCACCCTCTCATCCATCCATAACTGTCAAGCCCCACCTCTCATCCATCCATAACTATCAAGCCCCACCCTCTCATCCATCTATAACTATCAAGTCCCACCCTCTCCATCCATAACTATCATACTCCACCTTCTCATTCATTCATAATTATCAATTATTTCCCTTTCCTAATGAGATCTGTCTATCACCCTAGTCCCTTACTCTATATCTCTATGGTTCTACAGGTTATAGACTTTACAGCTATTATCCACATAGAAGTTAATAAAACCATATTTGTCTTTTTGTGTCTGGGTTACCTCTCTCAGGAAGATTATTTTCTAGTTCCATCCATTTACCTGTGTATTTTATTGTTTCATTCTTTTTAATCAGCTGAGTAATATTTCATTGTATAACTACCACATTTTCTTTACCCGTTCTTCTGTTGAGGGACATCTAGCTTGTTTTCAATTTCTGGCTGTTATGAATAGAGCAGCAATGAATGTGGTTGAGCAAGTGTCTCTGTGGTAGGATGGAGCATCCTTTGGGTATATGCCCAAGAGTGATATAGCTGGATCTTGAGTAGATCAATTCCCATCTTCCTGAAGAACCACCACACTGATTTCCTTTGTGGCTATACAAGTTTACAGTCCCACCAGCAATGGACAAGTGTTCCCCTTACTCTATGTCCTCACCAGATGCTGGCCTCTTCTTAATCACAGCTGATTCTTCAGCTCCCGAGGACCAGTATTGATTGTCCTAGCAAAGCAAAGGTTTCACTTCAGTGATGCTGGTGTTTTGTCATGGTTGTCAGGAATCATGATTGGTTCCTCAGACCCAGTTCACCAGAACCACGGATCCTTATTCAAAACAGCCTTCCCTTAGCCCTATCATCACACTTGTAAACAGTGATAGCACTCTTCTTTAACCCGTGGTTGATAAAGAACTAGCATGTGTTAGGTGAGCCAAGTCTTTAAAAGGACAGGTTCATTTGCATGTGTCATGGCAGGTTGATGTCACATGCCTGCTCCTCAATGTTTTGCCTGTTTTTCTACTTTATTCCCAGGACAGAAAATGTTCTTAACTGGAGTTAGTTACTATAGTTTGGGCCACAAAAAGAAAATTTCTACATGGTGTTTTCGTACAGATGATCACAGCCACCAAAGCTTAATGCTTTGTAACATCTTTCATCACAGCCAAGGAGGAGTTAAATGTTGGATACTTATTATACTTAAATGAAATGTCTGTTTTAAGTCAACTCATGGGACTTATGAACGAATGATAAGATTAAAAAATATTTAAAAGAAAGGAATAGAGCATGTTTTAATCTATATTCATTTTCAATAAAAATACTTCTTTACAGGGGAGTACACACTGGTGGAGTGAGGTGGGTCTGTGGAAGGCCAGGTAGTATATAGTATATATGGCACTGGCAATATGGGGAGGGGGGGGTCTTCAACTTGATTTTGATTTTAATGGAAATGCCAGTAGTTCGTCAACTAATGATGTTTGCTTTAAATTTAGGCAATTGCATTTAAACCATTCTTTGAATTTCCTGTAATTTTATTACGATTGCTTTCACAAATGCCTTTGGCACAGATGTAGACCATGTGTTGATGTTAGGAGTGTTGAGACAGCACCCTGTTTGGAGCTTTTCTCTTTGAAACAAAGATGGCAGCAGAGTTCTGTTCCTCTGCTCTCCAAAAGGAATTTGGGTTTCCTGCCTATAAAATATTTAGAATTCATTAAGATGGAGTGAGTCATGTCAGAAATCGTATTGGAAGATAAAAGAATATTTTCTTGTAACCCAGATTAAGCCTGTAGCAGTGAGTAGCTTTGACATAGAAGGAGATGCAAATATATAATCATCACCCAATGAAAGTGGATCTAGTTTCTAGAAAGTGGAAGCATTTGTTTATTTTGCACACATTCTTACAGGTGAAGCGAAGAAGCACATGTTCAAGCTTTAATACACCAGGAAGGGCGGTGTGTTTTTTGTGATGAAGAGTCAAGAATGAACTCGAAGGGGGGGGGGGGGTCTTTAAATGAGGTGGAAAAAGAAGAACAAGTGCTCACATTTGGGGTGTGTGATGGTTGATATTGATTATAAGCTCGACAGGATTTAGGGTCACCCAGGAGACAAGCCTCTGGGTAGGGCTGTGACGGTGTTTCTGGATTGGGGTAACCAAGATGGGACAGTCCACCTTAAATGTGGACACCGCCATCTCATGGGTTGGGGTCCTGGACGTTACACACATCACTAAGTGGATGCCTAGTCTTTGGCACTACCCAATAAAAGCAACGATACCAATGTCCCGAGTCTCTGTCCTCCAATGTGGTGGCCCCCAGCTTGTGTGTTTAGTGAACACCTGTTCTCCAGCCTGTATGCTGGGGAGACTGGACTTTCTGCCATATTTTTATTTCAGTTATGCGTGGCTGCTGTACCAGACCACATAGCAAGTGGTTCTTGGTTTGTCATAAGAACATAATTTGGCTGTCCTCAGTTTCTTGGTAGTGTAAGAGTCATCTAGGTCTGGTTTAAAAGGCACGAAGGGCTCATGGAGAATAGCTGAGGCTGGCTTCACACTGCGTGGCTGGGCTGGAGTTCCCAAGAGAGCCCAGGAGAGGCTATTGGTGACAGTGCAGCTCAGTCACAGCAAGGGACACCAGCATGTTGGAGTTGCCAGTACCCTGGCACAGCCACCAAGGCCAGCAGCAGCAGTGGAGTGGACCACCGGAACGCAGAAGGCAAGCTGTGTGGGCTGCAGAGGCCAGAGCCGGAGAAGTGGCCCAGCCCCTTGGAGGAGCCCAGAAGATCGTGAGTGGATCCTGGACATTGGACACCGAGTCATTTATACAGTTGGAGTTTGGTTTTGCTTTGATTTGATTGTGAGTGTGCCTTGACTCTTCCCTTTTGAAATAAAGTTTAAATTTTTAACATTTTTTTAAATTTTGTTTTATATGAACCCACTGTTGAGAGATTTCGGATTTTAAGAGACTCTGGATTTTTTTTTTTTTTAAAGAGACTGAACTTTTCAAGTGTTTGCTATAAGACCAGGACTTTTTAAGTTTGAAAATCTGCAGATGCTACCAGGGCCACTGTGGTGAGGTGTTTTTGTTTGTTTGTTTGTTTGTTTTTGATGTGGATATTAATGTGTGAAATTGGGGTTGAACAAGAAAGGAACAAAGAAAGAAAAAACACTGATGTGTTTGTGTGTCCACTCGACAAGGGGTCAGTTGTGCTGGCTAGTTTCATGTCACTTCTGGCACAAGCTAGAGTCATTTAGGAGGAGGAAACCTTAATTGAAGAAATGTCTTTGGTCTGGACAGATGGCTCAGCCATCCAAGGCTGGTCTCACAACGGAAAGACAAGAGACAATGCTGTAGGCAAGCCTGTAGGGTATTTCCTTACTTAGTGATTGATGGGGAAGGGCCCAGCCCGGTGTGGGTGGTGTCATCACTGGCTGGTGATTCTATAAGAAAGCAGGCTGAGCAAGCCATGGCAGGCAAGCCAGGAAGCAGCCCCCTCCACGGTCTCTGCATCAGCTCCTGCCTCCAGGTTCCTGCCCTGTTTGAGTTCCTGCCCTGACTTCTTCAGTGGTGGTCTATGTTGTGGAAGTGTGAGCCAAATAAACTCTTTCCTCCCCAAGTTACTTTTAATCATGGTGTTTCATCATAGCAATAATAACACTGACTAGGACAGTCAGAGTGAATGAGCTACAGAGATGTACGTAGCTGAATGAAGTGGCTTCTGGGTGGGTTATTTGGCACATCCTTCACAAAGTATCTACCTGTGGGCTCTGGTGATTGTCCTTTCGGCATGATTAATATTGGAGTCCTTACTACTGAGAGTCGTTATGCGACTAGTTACTGCCTGAGTGTGTTCTTCACATGGGATTGTAAAACCATGTTATCAGGTATAGAGAAGAGAACTTTTGTTCAAGTCAGATGGATGGACAGAGAGAGAGAGAGAGAGAGAGAGAGAGAGAGAGAGAGAGAGAGAGAGAGAGAGAGAGAGAGAGAGAGAGAGAGAATGAGAGATTTGCACATGACTGTGCCAAGCACTGAGGAATTATTTTTTACACTCCCCTATTTTTAGTAGTGAATTATTAAACTTGCTATTTCAACTGTCTTTAAGTGCACATTTCAATGGTGTTAGATGTGTTCACAATGCTTTATTCCAGAGCTTTAGGGTCTTCTTGAAGAACCAAAACCAGTCATCACACAAGCCCCCCCTCCTCTATCCCTCCAGCTCCAGGCAACTAGCATTCTCCTAGCAATCTCCAGGATTTCAACTCCTCTGCCCCTCTCTGCCCTTCTCCCCTCCTCTCTCCTCCTCCCTCCTCCCCGAGTCTCACTCTCTCTCCTGCCCCACCTGTTTGACGAGCACTTTGCTTGATGTCGCCAAGCTTCATCTGTGTTACATATGCTAGGATTTCCTTATGTTTCGAGACTGAATTGTGTGTGTACAACACATTTAAAATTTTTTCGGTGGGCAGTTGGCCCACTTCTCAGCTGTTATAAATATGGATAGAATGGACATGGACATACAAATACCTGTCTTGGGATCCAACCTTCAGTTCTTGAGAAGATATGACCGAAGCGGGATTCCTGATCATATGGAGAGTCCACTTCTCAGTTTCTGATGACGTTCCACTTTGCTTTTCCCTGCAGCTGTGTTAGGCACAAGCCCCCAGTGGTGCACAGATGTTCTCCACATCCTTAGCCACACCTGTGCCTTCTTGGTTTCTTTGGATGGTGGTCATCCTGACTGGCATACCTTTGAGTGTTAATTAGAACTTTGGAGCTTGTACTAACTGGACCTCTCCATGGTGACATGCCCTAGAAGTACCAGCTGACCTTTGCTGAACACAGCTCCGGGCAAGCTCTTCTCTAAGCACTCAGCATTGGCTCTGGGAGCCCTCACCAGGGCCTTTGAGGTCAATAGGAATATCTAGATGAGAGAGCTGTCACAGCTACTGCGAGCAGCTACGAAGCTTCAGGGGTGGGATTCAACCTCAGGGACTGAGCTCATCTGCCTGTCTCAGAAGCACGCACATGTGCGCAGCTTGCAAGTGTGCTGAGGAATAAATAGTGAAGCCTGTGGTGTCTGTCAGCTAGAAAGATCTAGAATTTACAGTTAAAGGCAGCAATGGAGAATTGTGGGGTTGGGGGCTGGAGGGATGACTCAGGAGTTAAGAGCACTGGCTGCTCTTCCAGAGGACCTTCATTCAATTCCCAGCACCCACATGGTGGCTCACAACTGTCTGTCACTTCAGTTCCAGGAGGTTCGGTGTCTATTCTGGCCTCCGTGGACACTGCACACATGGTGTCATAGACACACACACACACAGTCAAACTACCTGCACACACAGTAAAAATAAGTAAATCTTTAAAAATAATGGTTTGTTCTGCAGAGATCATTTTGTGGTTACTAAAACTGATGATCATGAAGCCAGCATGGAAGATGATTAAGATAAAAACAAGAAGTGGGAAAGGAATACAGGGCTATGATATTCATTGTAGTTGTGATTAGAGATACATAGCTTGTACAATATTTTCTCTTCACTCTGTTTCAGTCTAAGCATCTTTTTCTACTTCTGCCTTTTGGCTTGCCTCGGGCTCTGGTCTAGTTCTTGCTTTCTGCCAGTGTTCATCTGCCCTAGTGTCCAAAGAAATCAGTTGTCATCCCAGTGCTAATAAACTCATTAACATCTGTGATCCAGATTGCTCTTTTGTGCTCTAGATATGGATAGACAATTACCTCCTTGACATTTCTACTTGGTCATTGGATGGTTATTTCAAGTGTAACGTGTCCAGGAAAGATTTGACTCCTTTCTCACCATCTCGAAGAGATTAGAAACCTTGCTCTATTTTCAGACCTTCTAGCTGATCCTCTGTCTCCTTGAAAGATCCTTATACCAGGCTTCTGCTCAGATTCTGCTCAAATATGACCTCTTTAATAAAGGAGGTTCATTTAATGTTGTGGTTTGAATCATGACTGTCTTCCGAAAGCTCAGGTGTTAAATGTCTAGTGACACTCTTGGTTTAGTGTGAAGTTAGGACACCAGGGGCATGTCCTTAACGACGTTACTATGACGGGACATGCCACTTCAAGTTCCACTCTCTGACCTAAGGGGGGCAGCTCCCAATGCCATTCATAATCACTGTGGTGCAGTGTGTTGCCACAGGCCCAGAGCAGTGGGACCAGGGGCTGAAACCTCTGTAAGAAGTGTGTCACGAGCTTATACTGTATGATGTGCCAGAAACATAGATGAACCTTGCGTCTTTCCACGGGGTTGAAATTTATTGAATAACAACGAATCTACAGTGTTTCGAGGATTCGATGACAGCAGTTTGTCCTATAATCCTGGGCACCTCTCTAACCTGGCTGAAGAGAGTGCAGGTGCTTTTATTCTGATCTTAATTACTAATATTAACTCTTACCACACAGAACATAGCAAATACGTCTATAACTCCATCTGCATAATATATATATAGTTCACAGAATGAATACTAGTTAAGGAGACTGCGGCTGAGTTGGAAGGGTTTCAGAAGTGAGCTGAGAGAGTCTGTATTGCTAAGATAAGGGACCAGATCACTGGTCTACTGCAAGAGCTGCTAAAGTCAGGGTTGAGCGCAAAGCTAGAGTTGAGCTGCTAGATGAAAGGCTTAATGGTCCAGAATAGAATCAGGTAAGGAGTGGGAAACAGTGGGTCAGGTCCAGTGAACAGGTGGACAGACGGTCAGCTGAAAAGGCCCCATCAACAGCAGGGGGCTGAGTCAAGCTGAAACTCCATCATTTCAGGGGATCCAGGTGAGGGAGTTTCACCCTTTCCTTGTTCTGGTAAGTCCAATACGTTTTGAGGCCCGGATTCTCTGATGTAATTTTAATATGCTCGTGTGCCCCACAGCCTCAGCTCACTCCGATAAACTTGCAGGTGGCTCCCTTTCTATCCGTTCTCTAATCCTAGCCTGGCCTCAGTACACACATTATGCTGAGCACAAGAAGATGGAAGGAAGAGTAAATACGATTCTATTTATTTGAAATTCTAGAAAGGGAAAAACCATAATAAGAAAAAGATCAATGTTTTTCTGAAGCCATAATTACTGCTAGATATTGACAGGACAATAAATTTTTCACGTAATAAAAAAAACCCTTCATTTTAGTGATGGAGACATAAACACATATGTATTATGGGCATATATATATATATATATATATATATATATACACACACACGTCAAAATTTGTCAAACTAAATTTGAAATGCATATTTTATTAAAAATTAAATCTCAACTTTTTTTGTTAAAAAGATAAACAATATTGGAGAATGGGAGCAACAAAATAGAGGATTAGAAAAAGAAGAAGAAACAAAATACTAATGGACCGTGAGGTGGACAAATGGCAGAAAATGCCTGCTCCCCAACCTCGGCCTGTAAGGGCCAGCGAAGGGGGCTGCCCCCACAGAGGAGAGCCAATGAGTTCATGGCCACCGTGCCAGCCCTCTCCAGTCATGATGTTCAGGTCAGAGAAAACAGAAGTTCAGAGAAAACGGGAGTGCTGAGGATGAAGGATTGTAGAATGCACATGGCCCAGTGTAGGGGAGAGCGATGTGGATGTGGCTAAGCAGTTTAAACAGGATCACTGATGGGGAGAGATGGAGCTGAAGTGCTAAACCTCGGGAGAGGCCAGGCCTACAGGAAAGATGGTGAAAGTCACAGGAGGCTGAGTTGAGATAAGAACATTTAGTTCCCATCGTCAGTTGATATATTAGCCAATTAGAATAGTAATGACAGCTAAGGCTGAAAATATAAACCTCTTTACCAGGTATGGATTTATAGAAGTTCCTCCTCTTTCTGTGGGGAATAATCTCCACAGATAACATCCTTGTCATTAGTAGCTTTGGTACTCAAATACTTAGCATCGTCCTTTAC